GACGTCATTGCACCAAGTGTGTCACCCTGGAATTCACCAATTATTCTAGTTCCCAAGAAACAGGGATCTGCTGGGGAGAAAAAATGGTGACTCGTAGTCGATTTCAGGAAACTAAATGATATAACCATAAAACAAGTGTTTCCAATTCCCAGAATTGACGAGATTCTGGACCAATTAGGCAGCAGTAGATATTTTTCTACTCTCGATCTGGCCAGTGGTTACCACCAGGTACTTCTCGATAACCAGGATCGGGATAAGACGGCTTTCAGTACTAGCACAGGACATTATGAGTTCCTTAGCAACGTTCCAGCGAATACTAACTGCAACATACTAACTGGGCTTCAAGGGTTGGACTGTTTCGTTTATTTAGACGACATTGTCATATATGGCAGTAATCTAGCGGAACATGACAAGCGTCTCAGGAAGGTTTTCGACGTTTTGCGCAAATACAATCTGAAGTTGCAAACGGAAAAATGTCATTTCATGCGGAGAGAGGTGGTCTATTTGGGACACAAATGTTCGAGTGAGGGAGTCCTACCTGATCCATCGAAAACAGAATGTGTAAAGAACATTCGTCCTCCGAAAACAATTAAACAATTGCAAGCATTCCTCGGTTTAGTAAATTATTACAGGAAATTCATACCCAATGCCGCGAAAATCTCCCTACCATTAAACAAGTTACTTAGAAAAGGGGAAAAATTTATTTGGTCGAACGAATGTCAAAAGGCAATGGATGATTTAAAGGAAGCCGTGACTAATCCACCCATTTTACAATATGCTGACTTTACCAAACCATTCGTTTTGACGACCGATGCTAGTGATGAAGCATTGGGAGCCGTTCTTTCGCAAGGAAAGATAGGTGAGGATCTTCCACTGTATTTTGCGAGCAGAGCACTGAGTGCAACAGAGAGAAAGTACTCCACCATCGAGAAGGAATTCCTAGCAATTGTCTGGGCAACTAGAAATTTCAGATCTTACCTGTTGGGAAGGCATTTTAAGATTTTCACGGACCACAAACCTCTCAGAGGGGTGGTAAATCAAAAAACTCAAGACACCAGGCTAGGTCGGTTTAGGCTAAAATTATTGGAATATGATTTCGAAATTTGTTATAAACCTGGGAAATCTAATTTAAACGCGGATGCATTGAGAAGACTACCAATTGAATCAAGTGAGATTCAAGTAGTAACCAGATCGAAAACCTCAACAGAAAGGGATGGGAAAAATACAGATTCTGCAAATCAAGGGAAGACCAACGCACCGTCACAATAATCTAAAGCCGATGCCGAGCTAGGGGCAACAGTTTCAAACAATACAAACAAGGAAGAGGAACGTGATCCAGGAGGGTAGGATCAGGCCCTTTATCTGACTGACACCAGAGACATAAAAGGGGTACTAACTAGATTCCATGATTCCCCAATGGGAGGCCATCAGGGAGCCACTCGCACATATTTCCGGATTCGAAAGCAATTTAAGTGGAGTGGAATGCAAAGGCAGATTAAGGATTACGTGAGGGCATGCTTGCAGTGTCAAAGAAACAAAATCTCGAGGGAAGATAGAATGCCCATGATTATCACGGACACGCCTCAACGACCGTTTGACAAGGTTTATATGGACATAATTGGCCCATTGCCTTATTCGTCAAGGGGCAGTAGATGCATTCTGACCTTCCAAGATGACTTTAGCAAATATATGATTTGTGTCGCTCTACCGGATGCTGAAGCAGTAACGGTAGCGCGGGCCTTCTTCGAAGAAATAATTGCAAAGTTCAACATACCGCGGATACTGGTGACGGATAATGGTTCTAATTTCACCGCGGCACTTTTCAAAGAAACATGCAAGATATTAGGGGTAAAGAAACTCTGTACATCGCCGTATCATCCCCAGTCTAATGGGTCTTTAGAAAGAAGCCACAGACCACTGGCAGAGTTTTTGAGAAATTTCGTAGACTTAGATGGTGCAGACTGGGATCAATGGTTACACCACGCCATGCATGTGCACAATAATACGGTACACATGACCACAAAGCAAACACCGAGTAGGACTTTGTTTGGTTTTGATGTGGAGATTCCAGTAACGCTGAGGAAAAGGCCGTCACCTATCTACAACTTCGATGATTATTCTCAAATATTGAAATATCAAATTCAACGTTCTCATGAGTTAGTGAGGGAGAATCAGAAGAGGCGAAATTAGCGTCTAAAAAATATTATGACAGAAATAAAAAGGAAAGGAAATTTAGAATAGGAGAGAAAGTGCTCCTGAAGAACCAATCGAGGAAGAATAAATTTGCACCCATATGGGAAGGTCCCTATGTGGTAAAAGAGGTTCCCAACACGGTTAATGTAAGAATTTCCATAAAAGGGAAGACGAAAACTTTCCACAACAACTTGGTAAAGCCATTTTTTTAAAAAAAAAATAATTAAAAACTTGTAAGATGTCTGCTGAATTTTTTTTTTGATACCAAATTTAATGTTTTCATTTTTATTTCGTTTTAATGAAAATAAACATATTGGATTTAGATTTAAAGTGCCACAAATTCTACTCGTGAGCATTCAACGGTTCAACGGCCGAGGAGTGTGCGCAGTCAACTACTGTGTGTTTTTATTTATTGTTTTTATTTATGTTTAATTTCCAAGTAAGGTTTATTATTTGGTCATCCAGTTTATCTTGTGTTACCACACCATAACATGGTTTTATGGTTTTCTGATCAACGGACGGAAACACCAATAAATTTTTACTCTCTTGACAATTTCTGTAACTTTACAAAATCATCTAGATATACATTGTAACTATCATATTTGATACAAATAACACTCAACATTAGACGGCGAACTAAAATTTACATATTTACATTCAAACCGCCCATAAATAATTTTTTTTTCTTACCTACTTAACTTCATTTGTTGTTGATGCCACAAATATAACTCGTGAGCATTCAACGGTTCAACGGCAGAGGAATGTGCGCAGTCACCTACTGTGTGTTTTTATTTATTGTTTTTATTTATGTAAAATTTTCCAAGTAAGGATTATTATTTGGTCATCCAGTTTATCTCGTGTTACCACACCATAACATGGTTCTATGGTTTTCCAATCAACGTTGTTCATTCAGCCAATGGCATTGTTGGTTGTATAGACGCTAGTGCCAAGATAGCAACGATGCTGGGAGGTCCAAACCGGAATTGGAACACGAAATTTTTCTAAGTTTACTAATTTGTCAATATTAGATAAATGAAAGCTTTCTCAAGAAATAAGAAATATGATTTAGAAAGAAAATTCAATAATCTTTCATTTGGTATATACCTCATATCTGAATGTTGCGCAATAGCTGAGATATTCACAAAATAAAAAAACCAAATTTTTTAAAAAAACTGACTTTTTTTACTTAAAAAATTATTAAAAAACAACTAAGAGTTCGATGGACTTGCACGCACATGCATTTGAAAGGCAATAAATCAGGCTTTCAAATAAACTAAAAATCAGAAAAATCGTATGCGTGGAATTCGCACAAAAACATGTCAAAAATCAATGTCTTATCTCACTCCAGATAATACATTTGAAAAAAGTGAAAACGCAAAATGATCAGAAACACATCACGAAATACAATTTTAAATCGTCAATCGATTATTTTACATTTATCATACAAATATGATAAAAAATAACCTTTTTTTCTACCTTATTTTACTCTAACATATATATCATAGCGTGCAGAAGCCCGATGGCAATAAAGATATTTTTCCTTTAAAGACAAATATATCACCTTTCCAAAATAGTCAAAATCAAGAAAATCGTATGCACAGTTTTTCCATATTATTTTTTCAAAAATGGTTCATTTTTTATCAAAAATCCAATTAATTGATAAAAAACGTGAACCTCCACAGCGCCATATACGGCCCAGAAGCAAAGCAGGAGGCTTACTGCCATCTATAATTCGAAGCCAAATAAGATATGGTGTTTGTATTTGCTTAATGCATATGTTGTGAATAAATGAATTAAACAATAAAAAAAGCGACTATCTATCCGTTTAAAAAACATTAATTTTAAAAAAATATTATTACAAGAATCACAATGCACATAAAAGCCTTTAAAGATAACAAAACAAACTTTAAATTACAAAAAAAATCAGAAAAATCGCATTATTCTTCGAACAAGGCAATTCAATCAAATATGAAAATTATTATTTCTCTTAAAACAATCATTTGAGAAGAAAAGATAGATGACAAATGTTAAAAAATATATTACTAAGCAATTATTTAATAATATCAACTCAATATTTAATTCAAAGAAAAGAAAGAAAAAAATGTAATTTAAACCATTTTTATTAAAATTTTTAAATAAATTAATAATTTTTTTTTTAATTTTTCAGAATTCCGAAAAGAAAAAGAACAATCATTGTAAATATTTATACGCTTATTTATTTAAATATTAGTATAATATTTACATATACATCTTTATTAATTGCAGATTTCCAAATGCGACGCAGCCTCCAAAAACAAAACCTAGAGCTGGAAAAAAAACCAATAAATTAATTAATTAATTATAAATATTATATACATATATTGTAAGTAATATTAAAAAATGCGCTTAACACTATTTTTAGAAAGCTTATCTGCAAGCACCATCTACCGTTCGTATTCGCTTTATGGAATTTATGCATTTGTTGCAAATTAATTAATTAAACAATAAAAAAAGCGACTATCTATCCTTTTAAAAAACATTAATTAAAAAAAAATATTATTACAAGAATCACAATGCACATAAAAGCCTTTAAAGATAATAAAACAAACTTTCAATTACAAAAAAAATCATAAAAATCGAATTATTCTTCGAACAAGGCAATTCAATCATATATAAAAATTATTATTTCTCTTAAAACAATCATTTGAAAAAAAAAATAAAGATGACAAATGTTAAAAAATATATGACTGAACAATTATTTAATAATATCAATTTAGTATATAATTCATATCAAAAGAATTTCATCAAAAAATATTGGAATGTTTTTTTTGAGGTTATAATTTTTTGCAATCAAATATCTTACCGTGCAAAACCCCGATCGGGATAACCTATATGTCTATATAAAGACGAAGGAGTTTTCTTTCAATATTTCAAAATTCATAATAATCGTATGCACAGTTTTTTTTATAATGATTTTTAAAAAATTTGCATTTGATCAATAAATAAATTGAGTCATACAGCAACTAATTAGGGTTTAACAGCCAACACCATCTAGTGTTTGTTTTCGTTTTATGTGTGATAAATTTCAGGGTTTGAAAATGCTGGACTATTTTCAAGCAATTATTTTTGTTTACGAAAATGAAATAAGCAAAATGCAAATGCAACATTCAGTTTGCGTTTATGTTTCATACTAAGTGTGTGCGAAGGTTGAAGCAATGGTAAGTATTATGAAATTAAATTAATAAAATATATTTAAAAATTTGTAATTTATACAACTAATAATATTAAAAATAATAATATTATAATAATAATATTAAAAATATAAATATTAAATTTTTAATGCTTTCCTTTCAGAATCGGGATATATTAACTGGCGTATTGATTGGGCTGCTGGTTGACGGTAAAAATGTATGTAAATAATTTAAAATATATATATATTATATTATGATTTATATTAAATGCAATATTAAAATAACATTTTTTGTCTCTTTCTTCAGCAACCCCAGCGTCCACAGCAGCAACGAAACCGCCGACCAGCAGGAAACTACCAGCGGCACCAGGAAAGTGTCCGACGACGGGAAGAAAACCGCCGACGACGCGAAGAAAACCTCCGGCGGCAGGATGAAAACCGCCGCCGGCAGGAAGAAAACCGCCGGCGGCAGGAGGAAAATAGCCGTCGGCAGGAAGAAAATCGCCGTCGGCTGGAGGAAAACCGTCGTCGGGAGAAAGAAAACAAAGAAAAAAATGTAATTTAAACAATTTTTATTAAAATTTTCAAATAAATTAATAATTTTTTTTTAATTTTTCAGAATTCCGAAAAGAAAAAGAACAATCATTGTAAGTATTTATACGCTTATTTATTTAAACATAAGTATGATATTTACATATATATTTTTATTAATTGCAGATTTCCAAATGCGACGCATCCAAAAACAAAACCTAGAGCTGGAAAAAAAAAACCAATAAATTAATTAATTAATTAATTTAAAAAAAATTCATTTTCATATATCATATATTTCATATATCATGTTTATTTTTTAATACATTTTTAATAAAAAAATTTTATTTAAACTTATTTTCATAATTTTATTAAATGATATATTATATACATATATTCCAAGTAATATTAAAAAATGCGCTTAGCACTATTTTTAATTTCTTTTACATTTTGGAGAAATATTTTTCCCCTTGCGCCAGACCGATGCTTAATGCAAATTTTGTATGAAATTCTATACACGCGCGCATGCCTAAGTACATAGGCAAACTTTTTTACCTGCATCTTCTGCCTTGTGCGCAAATGAGGGTTGTGCAAGTGACTAATTATTATAAAATAATAGGTTATAAATGCACCCCGACCTAAAAGATCTATTGTGCGCTGCAAATGGTTTAACTTTGGCTACAATTTTCTAAACAATATTTAATTAATATTAAGTATAATATACATACATTTATTATTATATTAAAATATATTGAACTAAATAATTTAATCAAATTAAATTTAATTATTACTAAAAGGTATAAATTTTAATTAGCTTACTACTCTGATATATAATAATTATATTACAAAAACTATCATCTAATACATATATACATAAATTTACGTTAAAAGTTCATTAAAATAAACAATGGTAAAAAAAGAGTACATAAAAAAGAGTAGACATGGTGTATACATACATTTATTATTATATTAAAATATATTGAACTAAATAATTTAATCAAATTAAATTTAATTATTACTAAAAGGTATAAATTTTAATTAGCTTACTACTCTGATATATAATAATTATATTACAAAAACTATCATCTAATACATATATACATAAATTTACGTTAAAAGTTCATTAAAATAAACAATGATAAACAACGAGTAGATAAAAAAGAGTAGACATGGTGTCTTCTTCAAAACTGTCATTATCATCATTCTGACCAACGAGCAAGTTATACGGAAATTATGTAAAAAGTCACGCATTGCATCCACAATATTATGCGAGGATTACGTAAGATTATGATATGAAGTCCCAGTCTCAGCAGTACCAGCTGCACCATCTGTTTAGATAAATAGAGTGATTAAATTTATAAAGAGCATTTATCTATATGTAAATTACCTTCACCAACCTTAAATGCTATAAATAGTGGTTGTCTATCAATTGGGTCGGCTTTATATTAGGTTCGTGGCGATGTTGGTGGTTCAGCATTGTTAGATCTAGCAGCAGGTACTTGTCCATGTAGCATATTGATTGTTGATTTGTAGCACAGCTAGAAGAGAATTTTTAAAAAAATATGTATATTATTTTCATAACCATATATCAATAATTTCTGTATGTATGAAATAATCACCTTTCATAAGAATTAATTGAATATGGTGGTGCAAATGGATGATACGTTACAATTGTGAATTGATTCTTTGACAAAAAAACTTGCCAATGGCACTTTCTCCTTAAAATCATAGGCAAATACATGACGTAAGGTGGGTCGAGGTGGTTTACCATAACGCAATGCACGTATCTGGTTGTAATCAGTGATAATTGCATCGTTGCGCTCGATGAGATCAAGTACGCTGTTGACATTACATTCCAACCAGGGCAAACATAAAGGCAAACCAGTTGATGTAAGGCTGGAGATTGACTATGTATAAAAAATTAATTGTTATTAATGTGAAATATAATAAGTTATAAATTTAATAAAAAATACTTACGAGCCAGAAATTTCTGACGGACAGTATGACTTATTCAACACACGTTTATCAGTTTGTACTGACATTTCTTCTAGTAACGGATGTAGAACATCCGGAAACTTCAGCAATCCACATTTTAGAGCTTCATCAGATTTTTCACATTCTATTTAAAGTTTAATAATGATGTTTAATATTATAATGATGAATAATAAATTTAGTTAATAAAAAATACCTCCTAAAAGACAGAATAATGCTAATGCATATGAATAAGCCATATTTGGCAGTTGTAATAAATTACGCACAGCATCATACTCTTCATAGTACTTAATAAGCCAGGAATATTGCTTGCATAATAGTCCAATACTAGCACCATCGCCAAAGGATCTGTATCAGGATCTAAACTTAGGATTAGACAATTCAAATGCTGTGCGTCAACAAGCACGAGCTTTCAAATATTAAGCATACCTGAAAAGCACAATAAAGAAACATCTATTTTCTTGGCGCCGGTAATCCAGACGACAATTTTTCGATGTTAAACTGAAAGTTGGATGAAGTGATGTTTTCAAAACAAGCACAGCACGTTCAATAAGTTCTGTGACTGAGCTAAAATCTTCAGTCATTTTACTTTTAAAAACGAATTAGAATAACAAACATATTAAAAACTCTATAGCATAATAAAATATGTAATATTACTTACACATATTTAATTGTATAATTGAATCAATGTGTTAAGGACAGCTATACGTATTAAAGCAGTTAAGAAGTTAAAATCAATGCGTTCAACTGCAGCTAAAAATTGATTCTGCACACTTTGGTATTTTTGACTATGTTCATTGCTAAACCACTGCACTCCCTGTACTGCTGTATTTTTACTAGTTATGTCAAAGTCTGATGCTGGCACCGGTTTCATGCTTATAATATTCTTCATAAAAGGAGACCAGGTTTCGTTTGCAGTTACCAAGTATTTTTTACTTACTCAACTCTAATGACATGTTTACCGAAGGTGCGACGCATTCCATATTGTGGATTCAAATTTTTCAATTCTACCCTTTACTAAGATTTCTATCTTTGCTAAGATTTGCAAATTTCTAAACATGGCGATATGGTCTTTTGTGTTTTTGCAGGCGTGTCAGCTACTTTACCAATTAGAGACCCTATGTCACTAATATACTTGTCAGTAAGCTGAAAATTGTAATTTAAAGCTAAATTTTATGACACACTAAATCAAGTAGTTACACACTTTGTTTAATATACTAACCTCATTATCTTCGCTGCTTATATGATTTCCAGTGTAATTTATCTTCTTCTTGCGTTTTTTTTCTTCTTTTTCTTAGATGCTGTAGGACCGGCAGGAACATTGGCTGTAGCGGAGGCACATTCAGTAGCAGTGATTCAGTAGCATTCAGTAGCTCAAGATACATTATTACATTCTAAGCAAAGAGCACAAATAAAGTTGAGCAAATTAATATTATTCTTAACGTAAATACTCGTTATGCATACATCACACAACGGACGTATACAAATTTTGCATTCAACTTTTGGAAATACCTCCTCAAAATGTTTCGCACAATGGATGCAATATTTATCGAGGGGATCGCAATTATTCATTAACCTCTCTTTCATATTTAATCTATATAGATTTTCTGACAATAATGCAGTCAAAGGTAAGCTATTGATGAAGGCATCGCAATATTGCAGGACATAAACTCCACAATTATTGGAGTCATAAGTAGACTGCTTTTTATAGTTTATGCTCTCCATCTTCCAATCAATAAAAGGAAACATTTCTAATAATAATGCCTTATAGTGATTAGACATACGCTCTTTTGAAGCACTTTCCCCATAGGGATCCAAGCATACTAAAGTACCTTTCTCAAAATTAACAAAAGAAACTATGAAATGTCTATACCTTAAGTGTGGTATTATAAGTAAATGAGGTTGCTCCGATAAAAATTGCTTAAAAAATGATATATTTTTAAAATTTGTCTGACATGGCACAGACAAGCAATTCTCTCTTTTACTTTCAAAAATGATAACCGCTAGACATGCATCTAAAATTGAATTCAAAAGCCACTCATCATTATTTAGAGTACATAAATCACTTTTCGTGTAAAAGTATTCGAAATAATGGCATCTTTCATTAAATACTCTAAGAAAAACTGTGCTCAGGTTCAACACATAATATTTTGTTGAAATTGGTAGACTTTTTGAATAAGTTTCACAGTCCATGAAATTTTTTTCAGAAGTATTTACGTCACAGCTTTCTGTGGCACATGAATAGCTGTGTTCTTTAAGTATTGGTGATACGATAGAATTTTGTTTAACACTAAGATTTTTATCTTTTTGTGAGCGAATCACACTATGCTCTTGAAGAAAGAGTCCGTGACGAAGTCTGGCTTTATTCTTCTTTTGCCATGACTCAGGAATTTTTTTAAGTTTCCTATTTTTACTAATACCCATTATTTTATCAGAACTTGTCTGGATTTTTTTGTGTTTACGGGAACTCTTTATAAGTGTCCCTGGAGTTATGGGATCAGTTAATTCTTGGATATAATTATTTTTAATTAATTTAACAATTGAATTATTGAAACTTTGAATGCCTCGAATAAATCTTCCAAGTTTCTGAGGTTTACATTCAAAAACATTGTATTTAATATTTTTAAAATAGCTCTCTATGGGTCCATTACTCACTCGAGTGTTTGAATGATCTATATGAATACCGATAATATTAGACCACATAGGAAGAAATGCCATATATTTATTTAAAATCAAATTTGCCATTTTTGGACAATATAATTCATTCCTTTCAATATTATTGCATTTAATAGTAGCTTCTGTATAGTTTTTAAAATACTTTATAAATTCAACTCTAAAAGGACTGCCTTCAGAAATAGAAGCCAAGGTATCAGAAGTTTCTTCAAAAGTTGGAAGTTCATTAAGTTCATCTGAATTGAAGTTAAAGTCAAAATCTGAACATTCCGTCATGTCTTTTAATTTAGACAAACTCTCAACTGCCTCCTTTACTTTGGGTGTGTTATTTTTGGAGCATAAAATAACGCATAGTTTCTCAAACCATTCCTTGCAGTCCTTTAGGGTACATAAATTGAAAACTATTCCCATAGATTCTCTTAAGAATTTTCTTAAATTATTAACCTTAAGCGAATTAGTTTTATCTACTGCATTGTCTATATCTTTGCAAATAATTTTGCAGTAGTGGCTAACACAAAATTGTATAGCAACAAAATTCAATTTTTTTGGATTATTCACAAAAGCATATGAATAGTTTAAATATTCTAAAACCGAATCCATTCCATTGAAAACCTTCAATATTGCCCCAATTATAGCGAAGCTAACATCTGTTACAATTCTGCGACAAATGGGCCATAACAGACTTTTACTTTTACAATATTGTTTTAAGTGTTGCAAAAATTGTGCAATGTCTGTTATCGAGTGATTCGATAAAACCGCATCGGCTATTGAGAAAACAATTTTTTTCTCAGAAATATGACCGACTAAGGAATATAATAATATTCTATTAGTATCGAATGGTAACTTACGAATAATACCACCTGTTGCATCTATGCGAATAGTATGTTTCATTTTTTTCAATAAGAAACTTTCGTTTTGTTGCAATAGGTGAATTTGGGAGAAATCCCATAAATAAACTTCAAGTTTTGTTGACAAATATTGTATGAAATCTCTAGGTGAAGACTTAAACATTAAATAAGTGTCAATAAAGGGATCGGAGTGTAAGTCATTTTTAGCATATGCTTCTGTTTTTATATTTCTGTAATATGATAATGACTTTACTTTATCATTTCTTCCGACCTTTTCAAAACTTTCACATTGCTTATTGAGTTTTTTAGTGCGAAATTTAACAGCCGTATTGTGAAAAATTTCGCCTTTAAGAGCATATCTTTGCAATGCCCTGCATTGAGCACTTTTATCGTAATTTGTGGTATGCTTTAATTGATTATTTGAAGCAAATACCGTTACTTTGCCACTAAAGTAACCTTTAAAGATATAAGTGTTGCAGGAAGGATCTGTACAATAAGCGTATGCGGTGAATGAATTCTCATTAAATCTGAAATTTTTAAAGTGCAAACCGCAAGCATTATTGTAATGACTATAAGAACAAAGCAATAAATATTGTAAAATTTTCTTTTCACTAAACTTATTCTTATATGTGTTTAAGAAATTCGAGAGATTTTCAATCTCGAATTCTGCATCTTTTTCTTTGCAGATAAAGGAAACACACCTTTTTGTGTTTAGTGAGTCAACCATAAGCACACTGCGATTGATATATGGGCAGTCATTTTGTTTTTTTAATGCCATTAAAGAAGCAATATTGAAACTATCTTCCAAATTTTTGGAGAATGAAATGGATTCGTCTAAGCTTGAATGTAATGTTGAAACATTAAAATGCTGCTTATCTGAATGTACTTTAGCCAATGAAGTCTGTTTTTTATAAATCTGAAAAAAAATTATATTTTTTAATTATTTTAATATAAAATAATAATTTAAAATTAAAACATTTATAGTTAAAAATTTATAGTTAATGTTTTAACTTTAACAACTCTTAAATTTTTGTTAAGTGTTGGAGCGGTTAAACTCAAATAGTTAATATTATATTTATTAAATTTTAATCTATTGTAATTAATATTGTATAATTAAATTATTATATTTAATATATTATATAATTCATATATTATATTGTTTATGGATAAGATATGATTAATTAACTTATCTAACTAACCCTGTATAAGATATAATCAAATCAACGGTTCTAATTCTTGTTTTTATTGCGTTTTATTTTTGAGCTCGAGATGAGCAATTTTTTGTCATATTTTTTGGCTGCAAGTAAACTCCGTTGATTTGATTCTGTCTCTTGTTTTATCGAACGCGAAAGCAACAACACACAAAAAGTGATTAAATAATAACTTGACAAAATTGTCTATAATTAAATAAATTCAATAAAGTTCGAAATTACCAATTATAAAAACGCTTTTAATTGTTTTAAAAAATTTGTCTATTAATATAAAAAATTGATCAAAAAATTTTAGAATATAATAATGATTTTAATAAACACTAAATTATTGAATAATTTTACTAATACCCATTATTAGATCATCACACTAATAATGCAGTGATTTTTGCAATAATAGAATAATTATAGAAAATTTTTTTACCACGCAAATTTACTATTTCGTAATTAAGAAACATAAACATGTAAGTAATTAATATTAAATGATGTTTAATTTGCTGGGTTTGAAATTGCTTGACTATTTTCAAGCAATTATTTTTGTTCACGAAAATGAAATAAGCAAAATCCAATTGCAACAACAAAAACGCAAAATAATTTTAAATGGGCTTACTTACGATTATTCTTACGACGATTGTACACAGCTTCGTGCACACACATTTGTATTGTGTAGGTTTTGTTGTTGCATTTGCATTTTGCTTACTTCATTTTCGTAAACAGAAGAAATTGCTTGAAAATAGTCAAGCAATTTCAAACCCTGTTAATTTGCACAACAACTGAATATGTATATCTAATACATAATGGGTAAAATTATTCAAAAACAAGAATTAAAATAATACACAGAAGCACTGTACTATATTACCATAAAGTAATTCATTATCTTGTGGGATATTAATATAGACAATTAAAAACTTACTTCTTTGGCGATTCGCATGATTTTTGTTTTCGTTTTCAAATTGCATTTAACACCAAATCTTGTATTTTGTTGTTCATTTATAATTTTGATTACACTTTTAAAACTTTCCGTATTGTTTATATTAAATAATTCTTCCACTTTTATTATTTTATTAATTAAAGCGGTTTGAACCGCGCGCGAAAAATTGTGCAACATGATTGTTCGACTTGTTAACACAAATTAACATGTCATTGCATGTCACCAAGTGCATTATTAGCAAATGGCGACAGACAGACGAGTGGGGAAAAAATACGTCCTCTTTTTTATGTACTCTTTTTTTACCATTGTTTATTTTAATGAACTTTTAACGTAAATTTATGTATATATGTATTAGATGATAGTTTTTGTAATATAATTATTATATATCAGAGTAGTAAGCTAATTAAAATTTATACCTTTTAGTAATAATTAAATTTAATTTGATTAAATTATTTAGTTCAATATATTTTAATATAATAATAAATGTATGTATACACCATGTCTACTCTTTTTTATGTACTCTTTTTTTACCATTGTTTATTTTAATGAACTTTTAACGTAAATTTATGTATATATGTATTAGATGATAGTTTTTGTAATATAATTATTATATATCAGAGTAGTAAGCTAATTAAAATTTATACCTTTTAGTAATAATTAAATTTAATTTGATTAAATTATTTAGTTCAATATATTTTAATATAATAATAAATGTATGTATATTATACTTAATATTAATTAAATATTGTTTAGAAAATTGTAGCCAAAGTTAAACCATTTGCAGCGCACAATAGATCTTTTAGGTCGGGGTGCATTTATAACCTATTATTTTATAATAATTAGTCACTTGCACAACCCTCATTTGCGCACAAGGCAGAAGATGCAGGTAAAAAAGTTTGCCTATGTACTTAGGCATGCGCGCGTGTATAGAATTTCATACAAAATTTGCATTAAGCATCGGTCTGGCGCAAGGGGAAAAATATTTCTCCAAAATGTAAAAGAAATTAAAAATAGTGTTAAGCGCATTTTTTAATATTACTTGGAATATATGTATATAATATATCATTTAATAAAATTATGAAAATAAGTTTAAATAAAATTTTTTTATTAAAAATGTATTAAAAAATAAACATGATATATGAAATATATGATATATGAAAATGAATTTTTTTTAAATTAATTAATTAATTAATTTATTGGTTTTTTTTTTCCAGCTCTAGGTTTTGTTTTTGGATGCGTCGCATTTGGAAATCTGCAATTAATAAAAATATATATGTAAATATCATACTTATGTTTAAATAAATAAGCGTATAAATACTTACAATGATTGTTCTTTTTCTTTTCGGAATTCTGAAAAATTAAAAAAAAAATTATTAATTTATTTGAAAATTTTAATAAAAATTGTTTAAATTACATTTTTTTCTTTGTTTTCTTTCTCCCGACGACGGTTTTCCTCCAGCCGACGGCGATTTTCTTCCTGCCGACGGCTATTTTCCTCCTGCCGCCGGCGGTTTTCTTCCTGCCGGCGGCGGTTTTCATCCTGCCGCCGGAGGTTTTCTTCGCGTCGTCGGCGGTTTTCTTCCCGTCGTCGGACACTTTCCTGGTGCCGCTGGTAGTTTCCTGCTGGTCGGCGGTTTCGTTGCTGCTGTTGACGCTGGGGTTGCTGAAGAAAGAGACAAAAAATGTTATTTTAATATTGCATTTAATATAAATCATAATATAATATATATATATTTTAAATTATTTACATACATTTTTACCGTCAACCAGCAGCCCAATCAATACGCCAGTTAATATATCCCGATTCTGAAAGGAAAGCATTAAAAATTTAATATTTATATTTTTAATATTATTATTATAATATTATTATTTTTAATATTATTAGTTGTATAAATTACAAATTTTTAAATATATTTTATTAATTTAATTTCATAATACTTACCATTGCTTCAACCTTCGCACACACTTAGTATGAAACATAAACGCAAACTGAATGTTGCATTTGCATTTTGCTTATTTCATTTTCGTAAACAAAAATAATTGCTTGAAAATAGTCCAGCATTTTCAAACCCTGAAATTTATCACACATAAAACGAAAACAAACACTAGATGGTGTTGGCTGTTAAACCCTAATTAGTTGCTGTATGACTCAATTTATTTATTGATCAAATGCAAATTTTTTAAAAATCATTATAAAAAAAACTGTGCATACGATTATTATGAATTTTGAAATATTGAAAGAAAACTCCTTCATCTTTATATAGACATATAGGTTATCCCGATCGGGGTTTTGCACGGTAAGATATTTGATTGCAAAAAATTATAACCTCAAAAAAAATATTCCAATATTTTTTGATGAAATTCTTTTGATATGAATTAAATACTAAATTGATATTATTAAATAATTGTTCAGTCATATATTTTTTAACATTTGTCATCTTTATTTTCTTTTTTAAATGATTGTTTTAAGAGAAATAATAATTTTCATATAGGATTGAATTGCCTTGTTCGAAGAATAAGGCGATTTTTATGATTTTTTTTGTAATTGAAAGTTTGTTTTATTATCTTTAAAGGCTTTTATGTGCATTGTGATTCTTGTAATAATATTTTTTTTAATTAATGTTTTTTAAAAGGATAGATAGTCGCTTTTTTTATTGTTTAATTAATTAATTTGCAACAAATACATAAATTCCATAAAGCGAATACGAACGGTAGATGGTGCTTGCAGACAAGCCCATATAATTTGCTGGACTCCGCATTCGGCGCTATGACTCAATTTATTTATTGATCAAATGCAAATTTTTTAAAAATCATTATAAAAAAAACTGTGCATACGATTATTATGAATTTTGAAATATTGAAAGAAAACTCCTTCGTCTTTATATAGACATATAGGTTATCCCAATCGGGGTTTTGCACGGTAAGATATTTGATTGCAAAAAATTATAACCTCAAAAAAAACATTCCAATATTTTTTGATGAAATTTGTATGATATGAATTAAATATTAAGTTGATATTATTAAATAATTATTCAGTCATATATTTTTTAACATTTGTCATCTTTATTTTTTTTTCAAATGACTGTTTTAAGGGTAATAATAATATTCATATATGATTGAATTGCCTTGTTCGAAGAATAAGGCGATTTTTATGATTTTTTTTGTAATTGAAAGTTTGTTTTATTATCTTTAAAGGCTTTTATGTGCATTGTGATTCTTGTAATAATATTTTTTTTTAATTAATGTTTTTTAAAAGGATAGATAGTCGCTTTTTTATTGTTTAATTAATTAATTTGCAACAAATACATAAATTCCATAAAGCGAATACGAACGGTAGATGGTGCTTGCAGACAAGCCCATATAATTTGCTGGACTCCGCATTCGGCGCTATGACTCAATTTATTTATTGATCAAATGCAAATTTTTTAAAAATCATTATAAAAAAAACTGTGCATACGATTATTATGAATTTTGAAATATTGAAAGAAAACTCCTTCGTCTTTATATAGACATATAGGTTATCCCGATCGGGGTTTTGCACGGTAAGATATTTGATTGCAAAAAATTATAACCTCAAAAAAAACATTCCAATATTTTTTGATGAAATTTGTATGATATTAATTAAATATTAAGTTGATATTATTAAATAATTATTCAGTCATATATTTTTTAACATTTGTCATCTTTATTTTTTTTTTTCAAATGACTGTTTTAAGGGTAATAATAATATTCATATATGATTGAATTGCCTTGTTCGAAGAATAAGGCGATTTTTATGATTTTTTTTGTAATTGAAAGTTTGTTTTATTATCTTTAAAGGCTTTTATGTGCATTGTGATTCTTGTAATAATATTTTTTTTAATTAATGTTTTTTAAAAGGATAGATAGTCGCTTTTTTTATTGTTTAATTCATTAATTTGCAACAAATACATAAATTCCATAAAGCGAATACGAACGGTAGATGGTGCTTGCAGACAAGCCCATATAATTTGCTGGACTCCGCATTCGGCGCTATGACTCAATTTATTTATTGATCAAATGCAAATTTTTTAAAAATCATTATAAAAAAAACTGTGCATACGATTATTATGAATTTTGAAATATTGAAAGAAAACTCCTTCGTCTTTATATAGACATATAGGTTATCCCGATCGGGGTTTTGCACGGTAAGATATTTGATTGCAAAAAATTATAACCTCAAAAAAAACATTCCAATATTTTTTGATGAAATTTGTATGATATTAATTAAATATTAAGTTGATATTATTAAATAATTATTCAGTCATATATTTTTTAACATTTGTCATCTTTATTTTTTTTTTTCAAATGACTGTTTTAAGGGTAATAATAATATTCATATATGATTGAATTGCCTTGTTCGAAGAATAAGGCGATTTTTATGATTTTTTTTGTAATTGAAAGTTTGTTTTATTATCTTTAAAGGCTTTTATGTGCATTGTGATTCTTGTAATAATATTTTTTTTAAATTAATGTTTTTTAAACGGATAGATAGTCGCTTTTTTTTATTGTTTAATTCATTAATTTGCAACAAATACATAAATTCCATAAAGCGAATACGAACGGTAGATGGTGCTTGCAGACAAGCTTTCTAAAAATAGTGTTAAGCGCATTTTTTAATATTACTTACAATATATGTATATAATATTTATAATTAATTAATTAATTTATTGGTTTTTTTCCAGCTCTAGGTTTTGTTTTTGGAGGCTGCGTCGCATTTGGAAATCTGCAATTAATAAAGATGTATATGTAAATATTATACTAATATTTAAATAAATAAGCGTATAAATATTTACAATGATTGTTCTTTTTCTTTTCGGAATTCTGAAAAATTAAAAAAAAAATTATTAATTTATTTAAAAATTTTAATAAAAATGGTTTAAATTACATTTTTTTCTTTCTTTTCTTTGAATTAAATATTAAGTTGATATTATTAAATAATTGCTTAGTAATATATTTTTTAACATTTGTCATCTATCTTTTCTTCTCAAATGATTGTTTTAAGAGAAATAATAATTTTCATATTTGATTGAATTGCCTTGTTCGAAGAATAATGCGATTTTTCTGATTTTTTTTGTAATTTAAAGTTTGTTTTGTTATCTTTAAAGGCTTTTATGTGCATTGTGATTCTTGTAATAATATTTTTTTTTAATTAATGTTTTTTAAAAGGATAGATAGTCGCTTTTTTTATTGTTTAATTAATTAATTTGCAACAAATACATAAATTCCATAAAGCGAATACGAACGGTAGATGGTGCTTGCAGACAAGCCCATATAATTTGCTGGACTCCGCATTCGGCGCTATGACTCAATTTATTTATTGATCAAATGAAAATTTCTTAAAAATCATTATAAAAAAAACTGTGCATACGATTATTATGAATTTTGAAATATTGAAAGAAAACTCCTTCGTCTTTATATAGACATATAGGTTATCCCGATCGGGGTTTTGCACGGTAAGATATTTGATTGCAAAAAATTATAACCTCAAAAAAAACATTCCAATATTTTTTGATGAAATTTGTATGATATTAATTAAATATTAAGTTGATATTATTAAATAATTATTCAGTCATATATTTTTTAACATTTGTCATCTTTATTTTTTTTTCAAATG